ACAAACAATGTACCTAGACAGTGTAGGTATACAGTGTACCTAGACAGTGTAGGTATACAAACAATGTACCTCGACAGTGTAGGTATATAATGTACCTAGACAGTGTAGGTATACAAACAATATACCTAGACAGTGTAGGTATACAGTGTACCTAGACAGTGTAGGTATACAATGTACCTAGACAGTGTAGGTATACAAACAATGTACTTAGACAGTGTAGGTATACAAACAATGTACCTAGACAGTGTAGGTATACAAACAATGTACCTAGACAGTGTAGGTATACAGTGTACCTAGACAGTGTAGGTATACAAACAATGTACCTAGACAGTGTAGGTATATAATGTTCAGACAGTGTGCATACAAACAATGTACCCAGACAGTGTAGGTACAGTGTACCCAGACAAGTGTAGGTATACAATAATACCTAGACAGTGTAGGTATACAAACAATGTACTTAGACAGTGTAGGTATACAAGCAATGTATACCTAGACGGTGTGGTATACAAACAGTAATGCCTAGACAGTGTGGGTATACAGTGTACCTAGGCAGTGTGGAGTACAAACAGTAATACCTAGACAGTGTAGGTACACAAACAATGTACCTAGGTGTGCAGTATACAAACAATGTACCTAGACAGTGTAGGTATACAATATACCAGAACAGAAGTGTAGGTATACAAACAATGTACCTAGACAGTGTAGGTATACAAACAATGTACCTGAACAGTGTAGGTATACAAGCAATGTACCTAGACAGAGCAGGTATACAAACAATGTACCTGAACAGTGTAGGTATACAAACAATGTACCTGAACAGTGTAGGTATACAAGCAATGTACCTAGACAGTGTAGGTATACAAACAATGTACCTGAACAGTGTAGGTATACAAGCAATGTACTTAGACAGTGCAGGTATACAAACAATGTACCTGAACAGTGTAGGTATACAAACAATGTACCTAGACAGTGTAGGTATACAAACAATGTACCTGAACAGTGTAGGTATACAAGCAATGTACCTAGACAGAGTAGGTATACAAACAATGTACCTGAACAGTGTAGGTATACAAACAATGTACCTGAACAGTGTAGGTATACAAGCAATGTACCTAGACAGTGTAGGTATACAAACAATGTACCTGAACAGTGTAGGTATACAAGCAATGTACTTAGACAGTGCAGGTATACAAACAATGTACCTGAACAGTGTAGGTATACAAACAATGTACCTAGACAGTGTAGGTATACAAACAATGTACCTGAACAGTGTAGGTATACAAGCAATGTACCTAGACAGTGTAGGTATACAAACAATGTACCTGAACAGTGTAGGTATACAAACAATGTACCTATACAGTGCAGGTATACAAACAATGTACCTGAACATTGCAGGTATACAAACAATGTACCTAGACAGTGCAGGTATACAAACAATGTACCTAGAGAGTGAAGGCATACAAACAATGTACCTAGACAGTGTAAGTATACAAACAATGTACCTAGACAGTGGAGGTATACAAACAATGTGCCTAGACAGTGCAGGTATACAAACAATGTACCTATACAGTGCAGGTATACAAACAATGTACCTAGACAGTGCAGGTATACAAACAATGTACCTAGACAGTGCAGGTATACAAACAATGTACCTAGAGTGAAGGCATACAAACAATGCCCTGGAGCAGTGTAAGTATACAAACAATGTACCTAGACAGTGGAGAGTGTACAAACAATATTCTTCCCTAGACAGTGTAGGTATACAAACAATGTACCTGAACAGTGCAGGTATACAAGCAATGTACCTAGACAGAGCAGGTATACAAACAATGTACCTGAACAGTGCAGGTATACAAACAATGTACCTGAACAGTGTAGGTATACAAACAATGTACCTGAACAGTGCAGGTATACAAACAATGTACCTAGACAGTGTAGGTATACAAACAATGTACCTGAACAGTGTAGGTATACAAACAATGTACCTGAACATTGCAGGTATACAAGCAATGTACCTGAACAGTGCAGGTATACAAACAATGTACCTAGACAGTGTAGGTATACAAACAATGTACCTGAACAGTGTAGGTATACAAACAATGTACCTGAACAGTGCAGGTATACAAGCAATGTACATGAACAGTGCAGGTATACAAACAATGTACCTAGACAGTGTAGGTATACAAACAATGTACCTGAACAGTGTAGGTATACAAACAATGTACCTGAACAGTGCAGGTATACAAGCAATGTACCTAGACAGAGCAGGTATACAAACAATGTACCTGAACAGTGCAGGTATACAAACAATGTACCTGAACAGTGCAGGTATACAAACAATGTACCTGAACAGTGCAGGTATACAAACAATGTACCTAGACAGTGTAGGTATACAAACAATGTACCTGAACAGTGTAGGTATACAAACAATGTACCTGAACAGTGTAGGTATACAAGCAATGTACCTGAACAGTGCAGGTATACAAACAATGTACCTAGACAGTGTAGGTATACAAACAATGTACCTGAACAGTGTAGGTATACAAACAATGTACCTAGACAGTGTAGGTATACAAGCAATGTACATGAACAGTGCAGGTATACAAACAATGTACCTAGACAGTGTAGGTATACAAACAATGTACCTGAACAGTGTAGGTATACAAACAATGTACCTGAACAGTGCAGGTATACAAGCAATGTACCTAGACAGAGCAGGTATACAAACAATGTACCTGAACAGTGCAGGTATACAAACAATGTACCTGAACAGTGCAGGTATACAAACAATGTACCTGAACAGTGCAGGTATACAAACAATGTACCTAGACAGTGTAGGTATACAAACAACGTACTGAACAGTGCAGGTATACAAACAATGTACCTAGACGGTGCAGGTATACAAACAATGTGCCTAGACGGTGCGATGCAAACAATGTATCTAGACAGTGTAGGTGTATACAAACAATGTACCCCTACGAACAGTGCAGGTATACAAACAATGTACCTGAACAGTGCAGGTATGCAAAACAATGTACTGAGCAATTGCAGGTATACAAACAATGTACCTAGACAGTGTAGGTATACAAACAATGTATCTAGACAGTGTAGGTATACAAACAATGTATCTAGACAGTGTAGGTATACAAACAATGTACCTAGACAGTGCAGGTATACAAACAATGTACCTAGACAGTGTAGGTATACAAACAATGTATCTAGACAGTGCAGGCATACAAACAATGTACCTAGACAGTGCAGGCATACAAACAATGTACCTAGACAGTGTAGGTATACAAACAATGTACCTAGACAGTGCAGGTATACAAACAATGTACCTAGACAGTGCAGGTATACAAACAATGTACAGTCGTTGAACAGAAGTCTTGTCGCTTGTTAGCTTGTTTCCGAACCAAGAGATTCAGACTCATGAACCCGAAGCAGTGGACACTGGTGCATTATTCTGCCCAATGCTTCGGATTCATGAGTCTGGTCCGAAGATTCGCAGAACGAAACGACGACTGTACCTAACCAACACAGACATACAAACAATAAACAAAACCAAACACAGCAAACAGTAAACAACTTTAATCTTTGTGTTTCATTTCAGTTCGATCTACTAATACTAAAAGCTACAGAAAAATGCGCCGTTGGAATAGGCTACAACAAGACCATGCAGTAGATGGCGTCCAGTGCTTCTTAACACAGTCAGCCATGCAGTGTGAAGCAGCTGTAGTGAAGATTAAGTTAAGGTCTTATATAAGTAATTAGCAGTGTACAATAGTTGTGAGTTGTTCATAAGTAAGTAATAGTGAAAATAACTTATTTAGTCACCTTGTTTATAAGTAATAGTGAACATAACCTACTTAAGACATCTTGTTTATAAGTAATAGTGAAAATAACTTATTTAGTCACCTTGTTTATAAGTAATAGTGAACATAACCTACTTAAGACATCTTGTTTATAAGTAATAGTGAACATAACCTACTTAAGACATCTTGTTTATAAGTAATAGTGAACATAACCTACTTAAGACATCTTGTTTATAAGTAATAGTGAACATAACCTACTTAAGACATCTTGTTTATAAGTAATAGTGAACATAACCTACTTAAGACATCTTGTTTATAAGTAATAGTGAACATAACCTACTTAAGACATCTTGTTTATAAGTAATAGTGAACATAACCTACTTAAGACATCTTGTTTATAAGTAATAGTGAACATAACCTACTTAAGACATCTTGTTTATAAGTAATAGTGAACATAACTTACTTAAGACATGTTTAATTATTGTACAGTTAAGTTAAGTGTTGTTAGCCATGCTAAATTACTGTTAATGATTGTAATTAAGCTGCTGGGGTAGTGTAATTAGCTAGTGATGGGTTTAATGACCTTGTTAAGTGCTTAATGATGTTGTTATGCATTTAATGACCTAGTTGAGTGCATAATGACCTCGTTATGCACTTAATGACCTAGTTAAGTGCATAATGACCTAGTTAAGTGCATAATGACCTCGTTATGCTTTTAATGACCTAATTAAATGCATAATGACCTCGTTATTGACTTATTGACCTCATTATGCACTTAATGACCTCGTTATACACTGAATGACCTCGTTATACACTGAATGACCTCGTTATACACTGAATGACCTCGTTATACACTGAATGACCTCGTTATACACTTAATGACCTCGTTATGCACTTAAGATCTCATTAAGCACCCACATAATTCCCCTCGCCTCTCCTACTGAACCAAGAACCCGGAGTCACGAACCCAAAACACTGGACCGATATATTTTTCCGCCCATAAAGGCTTCAGATTCACGAGTTTGAATCTCTGGGGTTCATATTTGAGGAGGAGAGGCGACGGGACTCATGCACGTAACTGTATGTGTGTTTGTTGATGTAGTCACAGAAAAAAAAACTCCCATCAGCGAACCCGGTGATTTGTGAACCTGTGAATCCGGAACAACACACATTTTGGGGTTCGGATTCATGGTTTCGGATTTGGTTTCGGATTCACGGATTCATGAGTTTCGGGATTCGTAGTTGGATCAGAGTACAGTTTTATTCCCCAATGTCTGTATTTATGTAATTACTGAACTGTATTAACCTGGTCAAGTACTTAAGGGCCTTAGTATTAACTTAAGATTTTTCAATATACTGTACTTAAATTACATATATTTCAGAATACAGTAAGAGCATTAATTTTCCTCATATATCCAGGTTACAGCAGTTATTGTACACATATATCCAGGTTACAGCAGTTATTGTACACATATATCCAGGTTACAGGATTATCAATATTCCTACCTTTAGATTACAGTAATAATCTGTAATGTGTTGTTCCTATTACAGTCTTAAGCACACTGTAACTCTCCTCAACATTGATCTGGAACCCAAATGTAATAGTTAAGTTGCTATTTATGCTATTGTACTGTATTTTTTTATATATACTTGTAAAAAAAATAGCGGAAACTATTTATTTTACATTCCATAGATGATTTGTGTCTCTGCTGCCAACGAGTAATTTTTTAATTTTTTTTTTTTACGAGTAAATAGCCCACCCAGGTACAGGTCCTGGGGGAGGGATAAGAGTGAAAATAAATAAAAATATAAAATAAAAAGGTTATATTAATCTACACCGCGAAGATGCTGGAAAACCAGCTTTTTGAAGTGAGACAGATTGTATGAGTATGGAAACACAGAAGAAGGCAGAGCATTGAACAGTGTGAGGAAAGAAGGATGTACTATAACGGGTTATTATAGTGTGACCCACATCCACACAGACACAGTTTGGCTGTGTGAGTAAAGAAGGATGTACTATAACGGGTTATTATAGTGTGACCCACATCCACACAGACACAGTTTGGCTGTGTGAGTAAAGAAGGATGTACTATAACGGGTTATTATAGTGTGACCCACATCCACACAGACACAGTTTGGCTGTGTGAGTAAAGAAGGATGTACTATAACGGGTTATTATAGTGTGACCCACATCCACACAGACACAGTTTGGCTGTGTGAGTAAAGAAGGATGTACTATAACGGGTTATTATAGTGTGACCCACATCCACACAGACACAGTTTGGCTGTGTGAGTAAAGAAGGATGTACTATAACGGGTTATTATAGTGTGACCCACATCCACACAGACACAGTTTGGCTGTGTGAGTAAAGAAGGATGTACTATAATGGGTTATTATAGTGTGACCCACACTGTGGGCAAGACACCAGCCCACGGTGCAGCCCGTTAAAGTACCTGTAAAAGAGAGAGAGTGAAACAACATTGTGGTGAAGAGAAGAGAGATTATCAACTAAAGGAGGAGAGTTAATAAGCCTTTGATTCCAGCCTCTCTAACAGTTGAAGAGCCACCCCAGATATGAGAGCAGTACTCCAAGTAAGGACCAATTAATCCCTTATATACTTGAACCAACAGCTCAGGGGTGAAGTAGCTACGGCATCTGTACAGCATTCACAGCTTTGGGGAGGCAGCTTTAGCTATGTTAAGGATGTGTGGCTTCCATGTCATATTACAGCAAATGGTGAGGCCTAACATATCTATTATTGATTTTGGCAGAATGATTGCATCCTGAAATGTGATTGATGGGAGATCATCTAATTTAGAAGGTGTAATTGGTAAATACTGAGTTTTATTACTATTGAATTTAACCAAGTTTCTACCCCCCATTCAGAGATTCTGCACAGATCCGCATTGATTGATGTAATGATATCAGCTCTAGAAACAGATCTAGTTTGAGAGTTAGGAGGAAGGGGAAAATGTGAAGAAGAGTGAAGAGTAGAATAATCAGCGTAAGAATGGATAGAATTAGTCGCAGTGTGAAGTAAATCATTGTTAAATAGAAGGAAGAGAGTAGGTGAAAGAACAGACCCCTGTGGGACGCCACTATTGGTAGAGAAAGAGCGAGAGATTGATCCCTCGACAACAACTGCCATGGATCGGTTCTCAAGGAAGCTAGAGATGAGAGAACAAAGTGGGGGAGAGAAACCAAAAGAGGGAAGTTTAGATAGCAAAGACTTGTGCCATACCCTGTCAAACGCTTTGGAGATGTCGAGGGCCACGACAAAAGTTTCCCCATAATCCCTAAGAGAGGATGACCAAAGATGGGTGCAATAGGAGAGCAGATCACCAGCAGATATCGCCTGGCGAAAGCCATACTGTCTTGTTTACGTTCATTCGTAATAGATAGATATATAGATAATTCCAGGCGCTCTAATCTCTGAGGGTAGCTGAGGTGCCGTAGTGCAGGCACCAGTCTGGTGGCCCTCCTTTGGACATTTTCAATCAACTGACAGTCCCTAGTATATCTCGGGGACCAGACAGGGTGACAGTACTCCAGGCGGGGTGACAGTACTCCAGATAGGGTGACAGTACTCCAGACGGGGTGACAAGTACTCCAGGCGGGGAAGTACCTCACCTACGACACTGTTTCGTACTTAAGTCAAAGCTTAAATCTTTAATTGTCTTAATCTCTTTACCAAATGGACAACAGTACGTAACAGAGAGCCAGTACATGCCCACAGTGCCAACATTACGTAACAGAGAGCCAGTACATGCCCACAGTTGCCAATAGTACGTAACAGAGAGCCAGTACATGCCCACAGTGCCAACATTTTGTAACAAGTGATACATGCCCACAATTACCAACATTACGTAACGAGCAGTACAAGCCCTGGTGCCAACGCATTACGTAAAACAGAAGCCAGTACAAGCCCACAGTGCCCAACGTGCATGTAAGAGGCAAAGTACATGCCCACAGTTGCCAATAGTACGTAACAGAGAGCCAGTACATGCCCACAGTGCCAACAGTGTGTAACAGAGAGCCAGTACATGCCCACAGTGCCAACAGTGTGTAACAGAGAGCCAGCACATGCCCACAGTGCCAACAGTACGTAACAGAGAGCCAGTACATGCCCACAGTTGCCAATAGTTCCCAAGAGAGTGCCAGTACATGCCCACAGTGCCAACAGTACGTAACAGAGAGCCGGTACATGCCCACAGTGCCAACAGTTCCTAACAGAGAGCCGTAGTACATGCCCACAGTGCCAACATTGGCGTAACAGAGAGCCAGTACATGCCCACAGTTGCCAACAGTTCCTAACAGAGAGCCAAAGCACATGCCCACAGTGCCAACAATACGTAACAGAGAGCCAGTACATGCCCACAGTGCCAACAGTGTGTAACAGAGAGCCAGCACATGCCCACAGTGCCAACATTACGTAACAGAGAGCCAGCATTACGCCCACAGCTGCCAACAGTTCCCAAGAAAGCCAGTACATGCCCACAGTGCCAACAGGTGTAACAGAGAGCCAGCATATGCCCACATTTGCCAACAGTTCCTAATAACAGAGAGCCAGCACATGCCCGCAGTGCCAACATTACGTAACAGAGAGTCAGTACATGCCCACAGTTGCCAACAGTTCCCAAGAGAGTGCCAGTACATGCCCACAGTGCCAACAGTGTGTAACAGAGAGCCAGTACATGCCCACATTTGCCAACAGTTCCTAACAACAACAGAGAGCCAGCACATGCCCGCAGTGCCAACATTACGTACCAGAGAGCCAGTACATTCAATAGCCGTTAACAGTTCCCAAGAGAGTGCCAGTACATGCCCACAGTGCCACAACACCAGTGTGTACAGAGACAGTACATGCCCACAGTTGCCAACAGTTCCCAAGAGAGTGCCAGTACATGCCCACAGTGCCAACAGTGTGTAACAGAGAGCCAGTACATGCCCGCAGTGCCAACAGTTCCTATCAGGAGAGCCAGCACATGCCCGCAGTGCCAACAGTACGTAACAGAGAGCCAGTACATGCCCACAGTGCCAACAGTGTGAAACAGAGAGCCAGTACATGCCCACAGCTGCCAATAATAGTAATGTAACAGAGAGCAAGATATGCCCCTACAGCCACCAATAGAAGTTCCTGAATTGAGGGGAGAGCCAGCGCACTGGAGTTCCGGCAGGTGCCAACAGTACGTAACAGAGAGCCAGTACATGCCCACAGTTAACAGTGTGGGAACAGAAAGCCAGTACATGCCCACAGTTGCCAACAGTGTGTAACAGAGAGCCAAAGGCGCACCTTACTGGGTGGTTACCGCTGATTAGTAATATATATGTATATATATATATATATATATATATATATATATATATATATATATATATATATATATATATATATATATATATATATATATATATACTCCAGGCGTAAGTGACAGTATCTGTGATAGTGACTGCAATTCAGGCGGGGTGACAGCACCCAGACCGCGACAGTAATTCAGGCGGGGTGACAAAACGACGGATGACAGTACCCAGGCGGGGTGACAGTACCCAGGCAAGTGATGTACCCAGGCGGGGTGACAGTACCAGACGGGGTGACAGTACCCAGGCGGGGGGCATAAAGGCCCAGACGGGGGTGACAGTCCTCCAGACGGGGGTGACAGTCCCTCCAGACGGGGTGACAGTACCTCAGGCGGGGTGACAGCACTAGACGGGATGACAGTACTCCAGACGGGATGCAGTAATTCCATACGGGATGGCAGCATTCAGACGGATGACAGTACTCCATACGGATGACAGTACACCAGACGGGGTGACAGTACTCCAGGCGGGTGACAGACTCCAGACGGGATGACAGTAATTCAGACGGGGTGACAGCATTCAGACGGATGGCAGTATTACGGATGGCAGTACTCCAGACGGATGACAGTACTTACGGATGACAGTAATCTAGACGGGGTGACAGCATTTGTGACGGGGTGACAGTACCAGGCGGGGTGATAGTAACTAGACGGATGACAGTATCTAGATTTGGATGTAGAAATTCAGACGGGTGATACAGTACCTTTGGTGATGATTGACAGTATCACTCCAGATAGGGGCATTAAAATTTAGACGGATGACAGTATCTAGATGGGGTGACAGTACTCCAGGCGGGGTGACAGTACTCAAGACAGAGTGACAGTATCTAGATATGTAAGTGGCTGTGCACTCCAGACGGGGCACAGTACCCGCCACGGATGACAGTAATCTGTGATAGGGGTGACAGTACTCAAGACAGAGTGACAGTGCACCCAGACGAGGGTGACAGTATTCCAGGCGGGTGATAGTACTCCGTGACGGGGTGACAGTACTCAAGGCAGAGTGATGCAATTCGATGGGTGACAGTACTACTGACGGATGACAGTATTCAGACGGATGACAGTAATTCAGACGGGGTGACAGTACCAAGGCAGAGTGACAGTAATTCTGGATAGTGACAGTACTACTGACGGACGACAGCAATTCAGACGGATGACAGTATTCAGACGGATGACAGTACCTGTATTGTGGTGACAGTACGCCAGGTGGGGAAGACCTCACCTTCTATATTGTTTCATACCCAAGCTTAAGTGTCAAAGCTTAAATTTAAATGTCTTAATCTGTTTACTAAGTTGCCAACAGTCATGCCCACAGTGTTCCTAACAGTGACAGAGAGCCAACAGTTCCTAAAAGAGCCAGTACATGCCCACAGTGCCAACAGTTCCTACCAGAGAGCCAGTAGTGGCAACGGTTCCTAACAGAGAGCCAGTACATGCCCACAGTGCCAACAGTTCCAAACA